CAGGCCCTGGCGCTCCCAAGGGCCGGCAGCGGGGCCTCAGGACCCCAGGGCAGGAGGGTGGAAGGCGGAGGCCACCTCGAGCCCGGATGTCATCCCAGCACTTCTGAGCGTGGGTTCACCGGGTTACCGGGACGGCTACACCTACCCCCGTAAGTTCAGCCAGACTCTGCATTGTTAGCCGTTTGCAGAAAAACTCAGCCACCGACCGGCCACGCCTGCCGACTCCACTGCTGAGACGACTTTGCTTCTGTCAAGTGACGCCCTCCAGACACTGGCTGGCTGTGGGGAGAGGCGTGCCCTGTGGCCTGGGCCGTTGCGTGAGTGCGCTTACGGTGAACAGTAAGGTTCGATCTTGTTGATTTGCATGATATGGGGGGGCGGTTCTGGGTCAAGAGACTAGGGAGCCATGTTTAGGGTCACTTCGGCCGCTTCCGGAGAGTTCCTAAGGGCACAGCTCGGCGGCACTGGGGACATTCACACTGCAGTGCAGCACCACCGTCCTCTCCAGGACTCTCCATCGTCCCAGAATTCAACCCCCACTCCACACGCCCTCCCTCCCCCAAACACCATCCACCCGTCCTTGTGAATCCCCTCCAGGGACCTCAAATGAGTGGGAACCTACAGGAATTCTGTCTGGCTCGTCTCATGAGGCACCTTTTATTTGTTTTCAATAACCTGGCACCACTGGGCTAACACTCCAGGAGCAGCTGCTCCTTCGCTGGGTGGGCCTCGGTGCACTGCTGGCTGGGTCATGCTGCCCTGGGCGGGGAGTTGCCCCTTCGACCACCACAGACCATCTCCCTCTGCAGAGGGAAACCATTTATATGTGACAGGACTTCCTTCCAGACACACCCCTGAGCCCCAGAATGAGCGTGACACCCCACAGGCCTTGGTGGTTACCTGTGGAGTGATGACGGGGTGGGGGGGGGGCTCTCTCTCCGAGGCCTGGGTGCTCTTTATGGCTTGTTCTGGAAATGACAGGAGGTCCGACTTGCTGGCTGGCTCCCAGGAGATGGTGTGCTCCCGGGGAAAGCAGGTGAGGACGGAGGTGGCAGACCTTAGGCTGGAAGCCCCAGCCTGGCACCTCACCCCCTGATCGCCTGCTGCACAGGGACAGCGGGGGGCTTGCCTCGGCCAGTGTCGGGAGAATGAGAAAGTTAGCCCACGTCGACCGTCCAACCGGAGGGACACAAACCGTGACTGTGTATGGTGTGATTTGTAAGAACAGGAACTGGCACCAATGCCCGTGTCCTGTCGGAGAGGGAGGGCGAGGTGACAGAACATCGGACACCGGGTGCACGTGGCCCTTAAATGGCAGGTCCACGAAGTGTTCCCTGTCGGGGAAAGGCTCATTACGAGTCCACGAGAACCTGGTGTGCAGCACGGGGCCTGTTCTGACAATTACCTAAGCACAGCCCTTCACCTGAGCCGCCTTGCCGTCCAGGGTCCCAGGGCTGAGCCAGCCTGTCCTCCGGGCCATCCCGCTGGGCACAGAGGACGGAGTGGATGCAGGGGAGGCAGAGTGTGTGCACGACGGCCCAATGTGGGAGCAGGTAAAGAGGGGCCTTTGAAGCACGAAGCCTTGTTTGGGTCTCAGAGGTCTGTTCGGGTCTTCAGCTGGTGTGCAGCCGAGTCAGACAGGAAGCACAATGCCTGGGTCCCCACCACAGGGACCTCTGCTCCCCACAGCCCAGGTGCCGGGCATGGGTGCATCCCTGACCTGTCTGTCTGCCTGTCACCACCCTACCCCACCCCACCCCAAAAAGGACAAAATGCAGCTTATGTCAAGACCCTCATTTAATCAAGAATCTAAGGCAGGGCCAGGCCGGCGTGGCTCAGTGGTTGAGCATTGACCTATGAACCAGGAGGTCACGGTTGGATTCCTGGTCAGGGCACATGCCTGGGTTTCAGGCTTGATCTCCAGAGGGGATGCGGGGATGGAAGGGGATGTGCAGGAGGCAGCCGATCCATGATTCTCTCTCATCATTGATGTTTCTATCTCTCTCTCCTTCTCCCTTCCTCTCTGAAATTTATCTATCTATCTACCTATCTATTTTTTGTAAAAGACTCTAAGTCAGGAACCGGGGGGCTCTGTGGGGAGATTGGGTGAGAATGGACTATCCCAGCACATTTTGTTCTCATTGTTCTGGAAAAGACAGAGGGAGCCAGAGCTCACAGCTGACGCGTGAGCACCGGGGCTTCCGGAGCCCAGCAGATCAGGTGACTCCAGGCCTGGCTCATCCAGGTGTCGCAGGCGAGGCCGGGTGTGCCCAGGACAGCCGGCCTACGTGGCTTGGAGCTGGTGCCTGGCTGATAGACGCTGCCTCCATGCCCACCCAGTAAACGTGGGCCCAACCTCCACCCTCCAAGGTCCTGCCCCACGCTCGCTGGGGTGGGGTGGGGTGGGGTGTGCTGTGCCTGCTCCCCATGGGGTTCGCCCTCGTGGCCATCTATCCACCTGTCATCCATCTCCCCACCTTCAGATCACTTTGGGCTGATTAGATTAGCGGATGCAATCACGGTCTGAAGCAAGTTAATTGAGAGAATTTATTTGGGCCTGACAGTTTTATGCATGTTTGATTACATATTATAAGGTTGGTTTTGGATTTTGCATAATTTAACTTTAAATCCTGCGCTGGGGGCCCATCAACCATTAATGACCAAAATAAACCTCTTTTAAGATGCATCTATTTATAATTCATTTCCGAGGGCAATGTCTTCCAGATTTTTTTTTTTTTTGGTGCTGTTATCAAAGTGACAAATATGTTAAAAGTAACATTTTGAGCCATTGCATTTACCCTTTAAATCTCCCGCAATGTGTACAATCCATTAGAAGTTTTGAAAGGAGTACAGGTTCGCATTTATATGGCAACAAGTGACGTATAAATGCGTATGTTTGTCTTCCGAGCCTGCAGTAAAATACATCCGCCTGGCCAGGTTCCTGGGAGCCGACAGATTGCCCACACCGGGGCGACAGCTCGGCCACAGATCTTCCCTCCTGTCAGCCCAGCACTGCTCAGTCCCCGGAGGACGGAGGACGAGTGTGTGCTCTGTGAAGTTAGCACAGACCTGGGCAGTGGGCGCCAACCTTGAAGCACGCCTCCCGTGGCCCCTTCATGGCCTGGGTCTGGGTTTTTGGATAATGAGGGGCCTGCTGCCTGGGAGGAGGTCAGAGCCACCAAGAAGCTGGGCCGTGTTCTCCTCCTTGTCCCTGTGCCAGGCTGGGGCCGCACTGCCCGGCACAGAGAAGACTCTACACTTCGGAAGGTGGAGCTTAGGGTGGGTGAGGGGCACACTTCCAACATGGGGGCAAACTGTAAACTAAGAGTCTAACCCAGCCGCCCTGCAAGCCCCAACGTCGCTCACGAAGATGCTGCCCAGCGCCTGGCATCCCGCCCTGAGCGTGTGGGGCCCAGACGGCGCCTGGGTGGGTCAATGTCATGGACGTAACTTGGAGAGGCCAGGCTGAGACCTGCTGCTCTCCAAAGTCCGGGCCTCCATTTTTTTTTATTTTTTATTTTTGTTAATCCTCACCAGAGGATATTTTTTCCATTGATTTTTAGAGAGAGTGGAAGGGTGGAGGGAGGGGGAAAGAGAGAAACATCTATGTGAGGACACCTTGATTGGTTGTCTCCCGCATGCGCCCCCAACCAGGCCTGGGGATCGAACCTGCAACCCAGGTACATGCCTTTGACCGGGAATTGAACCCATGACCCTTCAGTGTGTGGGCTGGAGGCTCCTTCACTCACAGGTCTGACGCTGGCACCAAACACCCAAAGGCTGGCTTCAGCAGGGCCAAGCACTGGAGCCATCATGGCCTCCTCTGCGTGCGCTCATGTAAGCCCACGTGCCCCAGCATGACCCCCAAATGCCCCCATGTGCACTTTATGTGGCCCCAAGGTGCCCCTATATGCCCCCCACATGACCTCCATATAGTCCCCAACTTCCCTCCACATGACAACACACGTGGTCCTTACTAGACCCCACACAGTCCCCACCTGCTCCCCAGGTGCCCTCCATATGACTTCCACCATGACACCCCACATGCTCCCCAATATGTCCTCTGGGTCCCCCAACATGGTCCCCATGTGACTTCCACGTTCCTCCCTTAGGATCCCCACGTGCCCTCTATGTAACTGTTGCCTGCTCCCCACATAGTCCCCA